CCACTGCACGCATGTCCATTGCATTCCTGCAATGACCTAACAACCCCCCCCCCACCCGAATGCACACATGTCCATTGCATTCTCTCAATGACCTAACAACCCCCACCCCCAACTGCATGGATGTCTGTAAGGATTCTGTATATGTGCAGCTCAGGGTCTTGTCTGGCACCTTATTACGTCATCAGCGGGCGACTGCATCCCAGCCTAAAAGCCGGACGTGCACCCCCACACTCTGCATCTCTCTGGGTCTCTCTCTCTCTCTCTCTCTCTCTCTCTCTCTCTCTCTCTCTCTCTCTCTCTCTCTCTCTTCTCCTAATAAAGCTCTAAAGGTACTGTGACCTTTCCACACAATAACCAGCACCAGCCACCAATATACCCTTTCAATGTCAATCTCTTATAGCTGCATACCATCTTCCATTAGTGGCAAGCCAAGGACCCAGCCTTTAACACTTCAGACTTTGGGGGACATTCCAGGTTTCAGATACAGTAAACTAAAACAATAGGACTGCACACTGCAAACTGTTGAAAGAACAGTAGCAGGATGACAGAAGGAATTCCTTGCTTATTTATATGCTTCCAAACCGGACTGCATTCAAAACAGTATGAGATGCTTTCTACTCCAAACACAAAGAAAAGGACTGCAAAGAAATTATTGTGGAGCCAGCAAGATGGCTCAGTAGGTAAAGGTATCTGCTGCCAAGCCTGACAGCCTGAGTTCAATCCCTGGGCCCCACAGGATGGAAAGAATAAATCAACTCCCATAGCTGTCTTCTGATCTCTTCACATATGCCAATGGCACATGTGCACCCACACCTATACACACACATGCACATAAGATAAGTAAAAAAAAATATATAGTTTTAAAAATTAATATCAGAAGAGAAAAGCCACACATAGAAAAAAAAAGAAATTATGGCCAAACTCTTATAAAGAAATAACCCCCAGGAACTCTTTGTGTGGCAATTGAGCCTCCTGAGCAGCTGAATAATACAAAACCAAATCTTGTAGGCCAGAGGTGCTTAGAGAAAGAGGTGCTGACATACATTCAGTCTCCACCCATCATCTGTCAATCTTCCCTATCTCATTCTCGCCTGAAGCCAGGAGAGAAGGGAATAATTAAAAATATGTCTCTTTGATTGGGAATAATAAGTGATTTCTCTTCTTGGTACCCATTAGATGCATTTAAGACGGACTGGATGGCCCATCTGGTATATGATTACCCTCTCCAGGTTTGCCTGAGCAAGAAATAGAGTATGTCTGAGGTGACCTTACCAGAATGAGGCTGGATGCTGACCTCAAACAACCAAAGACTGAGGAGGGAGCTGCTAGTTAATGTACAGAGTTTATTTAAAAGTAGCAAAGTAAACTTCCTTTGTGGAATAAACAAGCAGGAAAAGAGCCCTTGAAATCAGTCTGTTTTTGTGCCTCGTCCCTACAGCTAGAATTTCTCAGGGTAGCCATCGGTAACCATCTGCCAGCTCAGAGAGCCAACAGCTCCTAGCCAAACGACAATAATCCTATCCTTTTACATCCTCTCTGTGCCTTCGCATTTAATCCTAGGAAAGGTGAGCAGAAAGGGAGCAGGAGGAAGAAGAGACCCACTGGCCTCCTTTCCCTCTGCAGGCTTCAGACTGAAACAGGACCAGACTAGCTAGAAGAAAGTGGGTGGTAGATACTATTTGGCATTTTATCCTGGCAAAGCTCTGGAGACTGTCAAGAATGAAGAGAGACTGTCTGTGACTTAGTATCTTTGATTTTACTGAAAAAAAACAAAAACAAGTCATGGACTGTCTCAGATGCTCACCCACCCAGGCTTGAGAGGAATGACCTCCCAGAATAAAAGGACTGGCAGGAACCATGAACAAAGCCGCACCTGGCCAAGTGCACACACTGAGCTCCATATGTATGCCCCCGCCCCCACAGGAGCACTTGCAGTATGGAGTAATGCTATTTTCTCTTCCCAAAAAGCTTTTAATAGCCAGCGACTGCTGAAAGTTGTTGTTTTAAAGACAAAATGTGGGTGCAGCCTATGGACAAATGCAGTACACCAGGACTTGGTGCAGACGCGGAGGTTGGCAATTCATTAAAGAGTCTGGAGAAGAATGTTAGGAGGGTGTCTAAACCTCCCTGGTGTTGCCAGTCCTTCTGCCCCCTTGAATTTTAGGGATTTCTTCGCATGTTGGAAGCATGAGCAGCCACCCTGTGTGATGCCTCATGCCTCAGTGCTTAAGTTTCTGTAAGCTGTCAATCACGTGGAATCCTTAGAAACACCAACTGGCCCCACTTGGCAATGGAATTGAGTGTGGACAGAATGATTATGCGATGCACCTGTGTGTCTGCCCTTCTAATAAAATTTGAGATGCTCCCCATTTTCCCTGTGCTTCCTCTCACCACCTTTCACAGTTTAAATTTTGTGTAAGGGAAATTTAAAAGAAAAGGCCCTTAGAATCAAGAATCACTCTTAAGATTCTATGAATTTCTGCATCTTCACATTAACTCATACTATGGATAAAGGTGGCTTAAGCAAAGTCTGTCAGAGAAATCAGGTTTCCTGAAAAAGTATAACCCAGGAGGAGTTTTGTGTATAGTTGTACATAGAAACCAAGCATTATTAAAAAACAAAACAGAAACAAAACTGGGGATCATTAGAATATGAGAAAGGAATGTCCTCATTTATTCCAAAGATATCCTTTTAGATCTGCAACCTGAATTCCTTTCCCCCAACTCCCATACCCCTGAGTTTTCTGTAGACCGATGTGGAGATGGACAGGGCATCCTTCTCATCTCCCACTGTGCTGCCTTGAAGCTTCAGTATTCACCTGGCAGAGAGACGGCCAGTGCTTCCCTTCTCCCCAGTCAGCTGTCAGTGCGGAGATGTCTCTGCAGCCATCACTTTGGTGCTAGGAAGGTTGCTGCTGGGCAAACTCCTCTGTTTTCCGAGTGTTAAATGTCTATTCTGTAGTGCGCATTTTCCTAAGATCTTCTTAGCCCTAAGTCAATTGTACCAAAAGAGGGCAGATTGTCCGAGCCTCAGGGGGGATTTTTGCCCAGTTTGTTCCTTCGTTATTATTGTCAAAGCAGGATTGGATCATTTACTGGTGAAAGCATCTTGAAAAAAGATAAAATTTATGGTGAAGTTTCAAAATTTGAGAATCCTAATATTTAATATTTACCAATATTTTAATATTTACCAAATGTATTTTTAAGGAACTGTAGATGTATAAATTGGTTAAGCAAAGAGAAAGACCAATAGATTGGGGCCTAGGAACAAATAAGTAATTTATTAATATAGCTCGTGGCAACTCATGAGATATGCTTGAGAGAACCAGAAAGCATGGGCCCAGCTCTCACAAATCACACAGTCAAGCTAATGGGGCCTGAATCTGTCATAATTCATGGACTAGTAGTCTCTCTGGAGGCAGGGGATGAGAGGCACTGGCAAAATACAGATGTCAGCTTCTCCTTTTGTTTCACTAGACAGTATTAACTGACTGTCTTCTGCATGGCAGGCATGGTTCTAAATACATTGTCTATTTATTTAGAATTTCCAGTAACCCTCTGATGCTTTACATGCACACACATACTGCTGTCAGCCCTATGTCAACCCTACATTCCAGACATGGAAAGAAACTGAGACCCATGGGAGTCAATGACCTCAGGAACACCATGACATTTGTAAATGAGCAGTGAGGTCCCCTAAATCCTTGGCTGTTATACCATTCATTTGGGGAAGGAGAGACTCGTCGTAATACTAAAGGAGAAAAGAAGAATCAACTAACTATGGAATAGCGAAATATTAAATGCTCTATGTCTAGCAATGTGTTTACAAGCTGCACGTATCGTATCGTGCTTGGCACTGTCCCTGGATCTGCAAAGGCTAGAATCTAGGAATCCTGGATCGACTCTGAGGAGAAAAGATGTACATAATAAAGCCCAGCCTAGAATCCAAATGAGCAAAACAGATTCAAAATGCGAAGAGCACAGAGGCCGCTCTTACAGTGCTTTATATGGTTGAATGAAGAAAAGGGGGCAGACCGGGGGGGGGGGGGGGGGGGGGGGGGGGGAGGGAATGTCATGCAGATAAAGAGCACAGGCAAGAGCCTGGGGTGTGTAAATGGTGATGACTCCACATTGGCTCACTGAGAGCTTGACCCAAGACAGACGGCATGAACTGTACCCACACCTCTACAAAACACAATTCCATGAGAGCTTCTCACCACCCCCACGGCAGGACAGCAATGGATGGAATCTTCTCACCACCCTCGTGGCAGGACAGCAGAGGGTGGAAGGCTCCCACCACCCCCATGGCAGTGTTCGTCAACATCACCATTTCTACCACAACATTCACCTTGGAAAAGGGAGCCCCATCTGGGGAATTGCCTCCATCAGATTGCCTGTGGGCATTTTCTTGACTAATGATGGATGTGGGGTGGGAGGGCACAGTGCACTGTGGACAGGGCCACCCCTGCACAGGTGGTGCTGGGTGTTATAAGAAAGCAGGATGGATGAGCTACAATGAATGAGCAAGCCAGTGAACAGAGTTCTGCCAAGGTCTCTGCTTTGGTTCCTGCTTTGGCTTCCTGTAGCAAGTCTTTCTCTGACCTGCCAACCAGCTCCCAAACAATGGCACAGAGACTTCTTATTAATTATGAAAGCTTGGCCTGTAGCTTAGGCTTGTCTCAACTAGCTCTTATAACTTAAATTGGCCCATTTATATTAGTCTATGTTCTGCCACGTGTCATTACCTCTCTTCCATCTTGCACCTCCTGCTTCCTCTCCATGTCTGACTGGTGACTCTGCCTTTTTCCCCCAGAGTCCTCTCTGTTCCCAAACTGTTGCCAAAGAGAGAGGTGAGAGAGAAGGGGGTAAAGGGGGAGCCAGATAGAGAGAACTGAGGCACAATATCCATTTACTCATCCTGTAAATATGTATCTTTATTGAATATTAAAGTATCATGGACTTTGTTACATGTTGGCAGTCAAAAGGATACTCACCAGTTTTTGTTTTGTCTGGTTTTGAGACAGGATCTCACCAAGTAGCTCAGGCTGGTTTTGAACTCATAATCTCCCTGTTTCAGCCTCGCAAGTGCTGGGGTTGCAGGCATGTGGCAATATATTCAGTTCTGTTCAGTTTCTTGTCGATAGTATATGCTTTCACTCAGAGGACTTTAAAGCAGTCATGTAAGCCATTGCATATCATCATTACCAGTTTTATCTGAAAATATTTTACACAGCAATCCTCGTTCAGTAAGTTTTAGAGGACAGGGTGGTAGAAGGGAGCAGGAAGAATGAGGACATGGAAAACCCTGCAGGCCATAACAAACAGTGCAGCTGTTCTAGCTCTTTAACTGAAAAGTCCTCCGATTTACCAGGACACCAGATTGCCCTTGGGTTCGCCATGTCTGCAGGGTGAGTGGACAACACATAATGTCATAATGACATAGCTGCTCCTGAGAAAATCCCACTCTAGAGGGGAAAACTGGTTGGAATCAAATAGAGAAAATCCTTGACTCTCAAGCTCAAGAACCTTGGACCCTACCTGCTGATTAGTGAGCAATTAGTCTAGGTTTCTTAATACACTCACAGAAGGCATTTCTTCACTGGATCTCAGGTTTCAGATTATCTAGTCCCTAACAGGTCAGTAAGAGAACTTCTTTGAAGCCTGTAGGGAGTGGTATGATCCTAAAGTCCAATGAGCTCCTGGGCCAGGAATACAAGGGAGCTGGGCAGGGCAGTGTGCTCAGCTCAGTTGTAGAACAGATTGTCCAAAGCCCTAGATCTGTCCCCATCATCTGAGACACACAGAGGGGTTGGAGGAGGAAGGAAGGGATGGAGTGAGCGGTGAAGGCATGTTTACTTCTATATCTGATACCTCAAAGCTCCTTCTCCATGCAATTTGTTTCTCCCAGTCTGGATAGTAACATGATAACAAGGTGGGTGTGTGTATGTGTGTGTGTGTGTGTGTGTGTGTGTGTGTGTGTGTGTGTCTGTCCACATGGTTGTATTTTTGTTTATATATATATA